AAAATGAAAAATATAACAATGAAGACAGTGAAGATGTAGATTTAATAAAATCATTATTGGACATTTAAATTAAAATTCAATTTTTTGGTTATTTTGGGGTAATTTGGTTATTTTTTGGGGTAACAAAATGTTAGCCATTTTTACAAACAAATTTGCTATTTTCAGCTAGTTTTTTTCGTAAATCTGGCATTATTTTTTGTTCAAGACCTGGCAACACTGCACCAGCAGCGATCCGAAGCGGATCTAGTCAAAACAAATTGGTTTTTTGGTGGTGTTTTTTACTCCAGGGACATCGTTATATCCCTACACTTATTAATTGTTCTTTCAGAAAATCTAGTTCTGTTTGAAGTTTTTAGACCGTAGCCCACGCGGGAGGTGGAGTGTTTACGTAGAGTACCCACTTTAGGTGTGCTACTCTTTTCGCAACTCCTCCGCGATTGCCCATTGCTTTCACTCTACTCACTCAGATTTTTTTTTGTCGATTTATTTTGCATTTTCAATTTTCCAGTAATTTTCCAGTTTATCCAGTTTTTTTATTTTGATTATGTGTATCCTCCGGGGTCCTTGTATCCTTTTTGGTATATTCTTTAAATCCCTCGATGTCCTTCCATCGCTGTCACGGTCGCCATGTCATAGGATAACTCCAGGGGTTACGTTTGGTTGGTTTTTTATTTAGAAGGAGCAGCTGAGGTGCCGCTCCAACAATCAAAACGGTCTCTGTTCTTTTACAATATTTTTTAAGTCTACAGAATATGCTGTATGGTTAGTGGTTAGGCCAAGCACGCGTTCGAATAAATTCGACTACTATGGTGAGCACTAGAAACCCTACGGGGAGAGACGAGTTTTCAGGGAACCCACCCACTAGCCGACGAGATCTAGGCCGGCAAACGCGTGCAGTTCATCTCTCACCTGATACCATCGAATGCAAGGTTTCCGCGGTATTCATGTCCGTTACACGGTGGATGTGCCTTCTTTGTGTCAAGTAGTACTCGTGAAACGGCCTTTCTCAATTTCAATAGCCGAATAATCATTTTATGACAGCTATTCCATCTGGTTGAAACCTCTTGGATGAGTCCATAAGTGGTATCTTGACCCTGCGCCGATTTAAGTTTTGCATATGCAATGGAACTTGACTTGAAGAACGAAACAATTCCTTTGCATTTGGTGATAACTTCCTTAACATTGTCGATGATCAATGAATCTTGAACCACGAGGTTCAAGGTGTGCGCAAAACGGCATGTGCCGTTTCTCCAAAAGTTTGCACGCTTTGATCATCGACGAGGCATTGTCTGAGACTATCGCTGTCACTTTGTGCATTATTTCCCAATCAGCTAGCACGACTCGCAATGTATCGGCAATATTCTCGCTGTTTTGGTTGGTGTCGCACACTAGCATATTTGTTGATAACACCGCACTTTTTAGCTTAAAATTGTCGGTAACAAAGTGGCAGGTTACCGACAAATAATGGTCATTTGCCCGACTCGTCCAGCCATCCCACTATGGTCGGTCGTATATGGAAAGTGCGGCCAAAAATACTACCACTGCTTATATCGAAGTGAAATTTTTTCCATAATTTTATAAAATTATAATAAGCAATAAAAAATGTACCCCTCCCAAGCCCTCCTTCACTTCACCCGCTGACCATAGATATGCAAAAAATTGATAACAATTCAAAAATTGTGGTTAGCTATGTACAAGAAGCAGAAAAATTATAATATTAATAAAATAATAATAATAGATATAAATAATATTAACAAATTGAAGTTAATTATAAACTTTAAATTTCAACCAAATAAAAAACAGACTTCAACAAAATCGATTTCGGTTTAAATGGTACTTTTCGTTGACCAGAGATAAACGGATCTGAAGTCAAAAGTAAGCGGTTGAACAGGTCCTCATTTGTTGCGACTCGAGAGTACTTTCTTGTATGGTGGAGTCGATACATCTTTACGTCTTTGTTTCTCGACTCAGCAGCTTCTTCTGATAGCTCCCCAATTGAAAGCAATGCATGTTGGAAACATCAGGCGCATGAATTAAAATTTTATGGACTGTCGGCGGAAGATAAAACCAAAACAAGAAAGGAAAGCTAACTTCCGGCGGAGCCGAAGTTGATATACCCTTGCAGTTAAAACCGGATATACATCGCAAACATCGGATATAGTTGGCCGATCCTTATGATTACATCATAATAAAACAAATTAATTACAATAAAAAATCTAAAAACAAAGTCCCAAGCTTCTATCTTTTACAATACCAAAGTTGGTATTTCTACCAAAAACCTTTTCCGATCGTTCAGTTATATGGCAGCTATGGGATATAGTCGGCCGATCCTAATGAAATTTGGTAGGTTGGATCAACTGACCAAAAATATAATCTGTGCCAAGTTCCAGCTTTCTATCTTCAAAAACACGAAAGTTGGGTCATTTTCGATCGTTCAGTTATATGGCAGCTATAGGATATAGTCGACCGATCCTTATGAAATTTGGCATGTCGTAATATTTTTATATATAATCGTAATATATCACAAAAGCCAAAATTAGCTTTTGTTTGAATTAGAAATTTGAACTCTCTAACTCTGAAAACACCAAAGTTATACCATTTCCGATCAATTAGTTATATGGCAGCTATCGGCCGATCCGGGCCGTTCCGACTTATATACTGCGTGCAAAGGAAAGAAGGGTGTGTGCAAAGTTTCAAGACGATAGCTTTAAAACTGGGAGACAAGTTCGCGTAGAAACAGACAGATGGACAGACGGACAGACGGACATGCTCATATCAACTCAGGAGGTGATCCTGATCAAGAATATATATACTTTATAGGGTCGGAGATGTCTCCTTCACTGCGTTGCACACTTTTGACCAAAATTATAATACCCTCTGCAAGGGTATAAATATGTGATTGTAAGCTCCCTGGCAGTATCTAGCGCAAATATTCTATACTTTTCCACATTTATTCTGTACCCTGATGACAACGTTTGTAATAATGTTGCGTATTTATCAATCAGGTGCTTTTCAATCCCTGTTATTTCAGCAGATACTTCAGCATCATTGAAAAATTTTCTTGCCGTGTTTCCATCATTTGATGATCCACTGCCACCTGTTTTTGGTTTGTCGACTATTAGACCCATTTTCGTGCGGAACTCACTCTGAATATTTTCTTTTCTTCACAAAAATCGCTCTTTATCTACTGTGCCTCTTATTTGCCATTGTTTAATCTCAAGCCGGTAGGAGACGTGAAGAAAATATTCGAAAAATCTAATGTAAGCATGTAACGGGGACAACCCAAATTCGTAGTGATCTTCTTTTTGCAGTCATCTGTCCACATCGTTCATTTCAGTAGGTTTTGCTTGGCATATGTTGCATTTTGCTGATGAGGTTTCCGTTAAAGCATTACACACTTTGCCATCGACCATTGTAAACTGAAGTAAATGATGGACATAGAGATTCCGGTTGTTAGATGCTTCGAACTCAGTGGGTTTTAAAATTTTAATTTTGTTTTTTATATATTGCTCTTCATATTTGCTTAATAAGTCTGATTCTTTTTTAAATTGGATTTTTTAAATTTTAAATTGAAGTAATTATAAGACTCATCGATTTCATTGATTACATCGCTTTGCAATTCTAAAATGCGCGACGCGGTGTGGTCCAACAATTTTTGGAGTTCAACTTCAGCATGAGACTCTGTCACTACAATTTGCTCAGGATAACTTTTCTGCTTTTCCTTTAAAACACTTATGTAAGAAGGCAAAAAGTTACTATCGACTTTATTGTTAATAAAGCTCTTAATGAGCTTATACTGATGCTTTGTTAAATTTGCTTCCGTTATAAGTCCTATAGCTTCAGACGGCTTTACTGGATGGAACGACCGATTCAGTTGACTACATGCCAAGCGCAAATCATCAGCAGCAAGCACATCGACTTCTGCTAAATGTCCTATTCGTCGGCGTTTAGTTCTATCTGAACACTCTAGCAGACTTACTCGGGGACGTCCTCGATCTTGACTCAACGCAGAAGGTCGACTTAATGTTAAGTATTCATATTGTGCAAGCCATTTAGAATTTTTTTCTCTATTTTTTTGCTCTTCTTCCAAATTTCAGAAAATTTTTTAGATTCAAATTTCTGTTTGAGATTATTATGCACCTTTTCAACTTTTTCAGTAAATGAACCTTTGCCTAAACACCAGATATCAAATATAAACAAGAGTGAAATTTCACACTGATAAGTTGTGCCTGTGAAAAAGTTTGTTCAAAACGAAACGATTATGAAATGAAGAAAGTTGTATTATTTAAAACAAAATACAAACGGACGAAATAAAAAGCGACACGAAACCAAAGCAAAAAACCTAAACAAATCACATATGTTTGTATACACGTAACTACATACACACGAAACAATAAATATCCCTTCAGTACCATACCTCAAGGATTACTGAAGGAATCGTCTAGGTACTAGTATTGCCACCCGAAGAATCCTCTAGGTATGTTTCATACAAACCATCAAGGAATTTCCATAGAAGAGTTCCTCACATCGAGGAATTCGAACAACTCGAGGAATACTGCACGATTCCTGCAGTTATTCGAAGAGCATTTCGAACTAAATACCCCAGGGAATCCCTGAGGTATACTCTGAGGAATCGTTGAGGAAATACCCCAGGGAATCCCTGAGGTATACTCTGAGGAATCGTTGAGGAAATACCCCAAGGAATCCCTGAGGTATACCGTGAGGAATCTCACGGGATTCATAAGGATTTCATCCAACCTTTACAACCAAAATTATTTTTTTATTTGAAATTTTATTAATATAAGAAATTATGAATTGTTATAATCTATATTGTTATAATACATTGTTATAATTTATTATTATTTATTCTAAAGATTTATACTACTTATTTTATTCATTTACTTATTTTAATTTTTTTTTTATTATTATTATTTTTGATGGCCGTCAAAGCGTGCCCCAACAATTTCTCCGGCGGTTTCCCCGGATCCACCATAGATATACTATCTGTAAATAAAATAAATAGAAATTAGATGTCTCTTACATTATTTGTAATTAAAATACATACCAATCAAAAATCCATAAAAATTTGGAAACGACTTTAATCTCCTCTTACCACTTGCTCCGTCAATATTGTAATTGACGATCAGGTCCTCCACGAAAATATATTTTAATGACTTTGTAAGGGCTCCGCGCTTTAATAAGTTCGTCACTGCGGTGGTCTGCAAAAATTAATAGGTATTAAAATTTTTTATATTTAATTTATAAATATTATACTTACACATTTTTCCTTCATGCCGCGGCCTAAGGCGAATTCTAACGCTGCCAATGCCTCGTCGGTGGCAATCGGGAATTCCATGTTGACAGCATTGCTGGAGGCCTTTCCCTTAACAAAGACCTCCAGCAATGCTGTCAACTTTGCCAGCTGGTTGGTGCAAGCGGCGATTTCCCTAGCCTGCTCATCCAGTTTCCGCGCCTGCTCATCTATTTTTCGCTCTAGGCGATCAATTTTTGAGTCGCTCACCTCGCTCACTATCTCCACCTCCCTCATTTGCGTCTCCGCAATTAGGTCATCGTCTGAGAAAATAAATTAATAAAAAAATTAGATTTTATTTAATTTACTTACCATCGACATTAAACGCCATCTTTAAAATTTTATTTTGAGGCTCCATCTTTGATCTAGAAAATAAAAAGAATGCATAATTTTTTTGTACATTTTATAAGTTTATTTGTTTTATTTTAATGAAATACGCTTTTTTTTTTTGTCAACGGACAATGGAAGGTGAATCTTCTTATTATTTTTGATTTTTATTTTTTTTCGCTCAAAAATATCACTCAATTCATGATTTCGCGCTATGGATTAGAGCGGCTAATGCCGTTTAATAAATATATGTACATACATATGTACATACATATATTGAACGGCCGCTCGGTATTTAATAAATAAGTTAATTATATGCACTACTCACCAGAATTAGTTAGTATCACTAGGTCACTTATGTAAATGTTTTTTGAAAAATTTAACTTTAAACGCAACAAACGCGTGTAATTCCGATGCAAATTGAACAGCAAATGCAAAGAGAAGGGGAGAGGCAAGACGAAACCGAAAATTGACAACCGATAATTCTGGCGCGTGCCATGGTATAGTCGACCAACGCAATGCCTTGTAATTAGAATCGTACAAGGCTAATAATCAAACATGAACATATTGGCTTTGCCTAAAGCAAATTATTAATACATTTCAATATACCATATGATTAGAAAAGAAAAATTTATTAAATATAATCTTAAATATATAAAAATATTTCAACATATTTTAAAAAGGGTATTCTGACGTCGCTTCCATTCATTTGGTTTTCGGCACAGATTTTTTTTCTCTCCCTTCCCTCCATCTACATCTCTCTAATTGTTTCTCTGTCGCGTGCCGCTGCATCGAAAATGTGACGTAGAAGCTTCGAGAATCATCGTCGAAAACCAAAAGCAGGTAGAAGTTTCGTTTCCCCTTTCGTTTCGGACTTGAGTAAACGAAGCCCATGCAATTTGTTTTTGTTTTTCGACAATGTCGCCAGGAAACGTCGGGGTAAGGAATTTTGGTACTGAAGGGTAGAATACAACATATACAACGAAACACAAATGCACATTGCTTCGTTTACTCCTTTCATCGCATTCATAACACGCTCAAGTAAACGATGACAAGCAAGGCTTCACAAAAAATCGCATAGCACTAAGAGGGGCAAAAGGTGGCAGCTGAAATTGAAAACATAGATTAAGCATACATTAACTAATAGTAACAACCAAGTTTTGTTTCATGCGTAACAACTTTTTGTCCAACTGAATGCAACATATGAAGAAAAACACATCACTCGACAGGTCACTGGTAAAACAATTATTTTAAAACAATAATGCAACATATTATTCATACAAATAACATTAATACACAGCGCATATCTTGCTTTTGGTAATTCATTACACTTTATGGCGATTAAACGCGATTTAATCTGGTTTTTAAGATCTTCCAAAGAGCAAAATTTTAAGCTGCGTGCGCTGCTATTCATTGTTCTATTACGAACCAGTTCATAAAATGAAAGCGGCAAATTTCAAACTTTTAATTTTTTATTTTTGGCCTATGAAACCGACCACTGTGCATCCGTTGTGATGGCGCAGTGCTTTATGTTAGAAAGAAGATCACGTAGCTTTGTCTTCATCTCGCTATACATATTTTCTAGCAAAACATTAGACAAAGTGGCTCTACTAGGCAAAGCATAGGTGGGGTCTAGACAATGGACAAAGTTACGGAATCCTGCGAAACGGCTGCATGTCCGTAGCAACCATTTTTATACCCTTGCAGAGGGTATTATAATTTTGGTCAAAAGTGTGCAACGCAGTGAAGGAGACATCTCCGACCCTATAAAGTATATATATTTTTGATCAGGATCACCTCCTGAGTTGATATGAGCATGTCCGTCTGTCCGTCTGTCCGTCTGTCTGTCTGTTTCTACGCGAACTAGTCTCTCAGTTTTAAAGCTATCGACTTGAAACTTTGCACACACCCTTCTTTCCTTTGCACGCAGTATATAAGTCGGAACGGCCCGGATCGGCCGACTATATCCTATAGCTGCCATATAACTGATTGATCGGAAATGGTATAACTTTAGTGTTTTTAGAGTTAGAGAGTTCAAATTTGATATGAGAGCTATTTTTGGCAAAATAATATGACATGCCAAATTTCATAAGGATCGGCCGACTATATCTTATAGCTGCCATATAACTGAACGATCGGAAATGACCCAACTTTCGTGTTGTTAAAGATAGAAAGCTGGAACTTGGTACAGATTATATTCTTGGTCAGTTAATCCGATCTACCAAATTTCATAACGATCGGCCGACTATATCTTATAGCTGCCATATAACTGAACGATCGGAAATGGTTTTTGGCAGAAATACCAACTTTGGTATTTTTGAAGATAGAAGCTTGAGACTTTTTTTAGATTTTGTATTGTAATAAATTGGATTATATATTCATATTTCCATAAGGATCGGCCAACTATATCCGATGTTTGCGATATATATCCGGTTTAAACTGCAAGGGTATATAAACTTCGGCTCCGCCCGAAGTTAGCTTTCCTTTCTTGTTATTAGAGCATCAATCAGTTATATGGCAGCTATAGGATATAGTCGGACGATCCCGGTCGTTCCGACTCATAAACTGCGTGCAAAGAAAAGAAGGTTGAGTGCAAAGTTTTAAATCGATAGCTTTAAAACTGAGAGACTAGTTTGCGTAGAAACAGACAGACGGACAGACTAAAATTATAATACCCTCTGCAAGGGTATAAAAATCCAATTTTACAGGAGAAGCTTTTTTATACCCTTGTAGAGGGTATTATAATTTTGGTCAAAAGTGTGCAACGGAGTGAAGGAGACATCTTCGACCCTATAAAGTTTATATATTCTTGATCAGGATCACCTCCCGAGTTGATATGAGCATGTCCGTCTGTCTGTCCGTCTGTCTTTTTTAGATTTTATATTATAATAAATTGGGTTATATTATCATATTCTCATAAGGATCGGCCAACTCTTTCCGATGTTTGCGATATATATCCGGTTTTAACTGCAAGGGTATATCAACTTCGGCTCCGCCCAAAGTTAGCTTTCCTTTCTTGTTTTTATACCCTTGCAGAGGGTATTATAATTTTGTCCAAAAGTGTGCAACGCAGTGAAGGAGACATCTCCGACCCTATAAAGTATATATATTCTTGATCAGGATCACCTCCTGAGTTGATATGAGCATGTCCGTCTGTCCGTCTGTCTGTCCGTTTCTACGCGAACTTGTCTCTCAGTTTTGAAGCTATCGTCTTGAAACTTTGCACACACCCTTCTTTCCTTTGCACGCAGTATATAAGTCGGAACGGTCGGGATCGGCCGACTATATCCTATAGCTGCCATATAACTGATTGATCGGAAATGGTATAACTGCGGTGTCTTTAGAGTTAGAGAGTTCAAATTTGACATGAGAGCTATTTTTGGCAAAATATTACGACATGCCAAATTTCATAAGGATCGGCCGACTATATCTTATAGCTGCCATATAACTGAACGATCGGAAATGACCCAACTTTCGTGTTTTTGAAGATAGAAAGCTGGAATTTGGTACAGATTATATTTTTGGTCAGTTAATCCGACCTAGGAAATTTCATTAGGATCGGCCAACTATATCCTATAGCTGCCATATAACTGAACGGTCGGAAATGGTATTTGGTAGAAATATCAACTTTCTTATTTTTGAAGATAGAAGCTTGGGACTTGTTTTAGATTTTTTATTTTAGTTAATTGGTTTTATTATGATGTAATCATAAGGATCGGCCAACTATATCCGATGTTTGCGATATATATCCGGTTTTAACTGCAAGGGTATATAAACTTCGGCTCCGCCCGAAGTTAGCTTTCCTTTCTTGTTATTTAATCTCTTAGGAATAAGAAAATCATGGAAATATTTTTCAAGGTTTCGTGGTTTTAGCAACAATAACTAATGAAACCTTAATTTTTGTCATTAAAGGCAACATTCCATGAAAAAATAAAAATATATATACATACGATACTATTGCACGTTTTGTTTTCATACCCTTGCACACAACACGATATTATCGTGTCGCACACGATAATAAAATTTGATTTATTATACGAAATTAGAATTTTATGAAGAAATGTTTTTAGAAATTTTATTAATTTACATTATATTATATTTATTTATATTATATACATTATATACAAAATATTTTTAATATTCCTATGAAAAATTCAACTAAAATATCATCTTTTTCATCAGTTTCGTTTAAACAATCTAATATCTTCGAAGAATGTCCCAAACTTTTATATTCATTGTGGTATCTGGGAGGTATACTATTTCGCTTACATAAATTATTAAGATCATCAAATTTTTTTTTAGAAATATTTAGCTTACAATTATATAATGATTTTATTGTTCGGGTGAAATAAGGCAAATTAAATAGATACTTACTTGAATTTTCAAAATATTCATAATTTAATTCTATTGATAATGGGAATTTTTTAACATTAGCGATTCGTAATTTACTTAAATGTAATGTTTTATTTTTAAATAAAGAGTTTGAAAAAAGTTTCCAGTTTTTAAAATCTGTGTACTGTAATTCTATACATTCATAGCCGGTAGGATTTGTTCTAGCGTTTGCAATAAGTGTCGGCCATTCGCTGGGCGCCCATACATTGCAATTCCTTATAAAAGATTCAATAGTGCTGTGTACCGAATCCACGGGCATCATAGTGTGTCCAGGCAATAAATATGCATTTTTTATAGTCTTTGTTGCACTGTTTACATAATCCAAAGTCCCGGTTATAAACCCTAAGTGGCCCAAATATGAACCGATCGTTATGGCTTAGCCCATAAGAAAGTGCTAGTGTCAGCATAATCGTAAGTTACGATTCGTAACAAACGGTCAGCATATGCATACCCCTCGCGCCACCACTTGAGAGCGCATAACAACGTATATTATTATATTCCTTTATACACTGCCGCTCAACTGAATAGGTTCACATAAATCCGCTTGCATTTTCAAGATTTGTTTATCACATATTGACCGTAGTCAAGTTTTTATACCCTTGCAGAGGCTATTATAATTTTGTCCAAAAGTGTGCAACGCAGTGAAGGAGACATCTCCGACCCTATAAAGTATATATATTCTTGATCAGGATCACCTCCTGAGTTGATATGAGCATGTCCGTCTGTCCGTCTGTCTGTCCGTTTCTACGAGAACTAGTCTCTCAGTCTTAAAGCTATCGTCTTGAAACTTTGCACACACCCTTCTTTCTTTTGCACGCAGTATATAAGTCGGAACGGCCGGGATCGGCCGACTATATCCTATAGCTGCCATATAACTGATTGATCGGAAATGGTATAACTTTGACGTTTTTAGAGTTAGAGAGTTCAAATTTAACATGAGAGCATTTTTTGGCAAAACATTACGACATGCCAAATTTCATAAGGATCAGCCGACTATATCCTATAGCTGCTATATACCTGAACAATCGGAAATGACCCAACTTTCGTGTTTTTGAAGATGGAAAGGTGGAATTTAGTACAGAGTTGATCATTAGGATCGGCCGACTATATCCTATAGCTGCCATATAACTGAACGATTGGAAATGACCCAACTTTTGTTTTTTTGAAGATAGAAGTTTGGGACATTTTGT